ACTTTTATGTTGTGATTTTTAAAGTATGCATGTTTATGCTTGATTATGTGTTTCCCTACCTGATAATTATAGGATGCAGTATATATGACAGTATTTTTGTATATCATTTCTCTTGGAAGAGAAAATCCAATTTTTTCAAATTTATATCAGATGGTAAGTTAGGCTTTATTTTAATTGTTAGAGAAATTCTCTGTTTTTAAACTGTTAGTAGGACCAAAGAAGATTGAATGTGTAACAGTTCTTAAAGGACTGGTGTTATAGGTGGATGCCTAAATAACTAGAACAGATTGTGACAGAATAACCTGATGTTTTCCTGGTAAAAGAACAGTTTCATGTGATGAGAGGTGTTCAGCTTTACAGCTTCCTTAGATTGCTTTCTGGCTAATTTCAAAATTTAAGTATCCTTAATGTGTCCTAACGTGTCCTTAAAAACTTACACGGTGTAGTTTATTTTTTTAAATGTTTTTCCAATGGAAGTTAAATTAATTCAAGGTCAAATTAAAAGATTCTCTTTAAGCAAATTATTTTTTTTTCCTAGTGTTGGGCCTATTAATCTAAAAATATTCTGGATTATGTGTTTTGGAGAAAGGTTTTCATGTTATGTGGCAATCTTGGTGAATCCAAGCTATTTTTCTAATTAGTAGAATGAAATATGGTTTAGGGCCTGTATTTTTGCACTGGTGTCAGTTAGTATGTATTTTTATGTAGAGTTTTTTGCATGTTTGGGATATAGCCTATTGAGACTGTTAATAGAAAGTGGTACTATAGAAAGTCCAGGTTCGACTATTTTTTTATGAGAACAATTTTGTTGTGGTTTGTGTTCTTGTTTCTTTGTTGTCTGAAGAGCTAAGATATAACTGCAATTGAAGTGACAAAGCTGACTGTCTGGACTCTGATTTCCAGCTGTGTACTTTGGGAAAACCAAGGAGAGTTACTGAAAACGGGGCACAAAAAGTGAAGTTAAGCTTTACCGAGACTAAAACCATTCTAAATATTTTAAAATATTACAAATTATAGTATTCATAAATGTAGCTAGTCCTGTAACTTACCTACTGTAATCCAGTGTTTTTTTTAAAACTCTTTTCTGTCTTCTTGTTTCTTTATTTTTCCAGTGCTCATCAGCCTAATCTGAGCAAGACTGATTTATCCTAACAGTGTTTAACAGTTCTGTAAAGGAGTGGTGGGTGTTCCTATTTACGTATAGCTACTACTTTTGTGGGCTTTAAATGCCCAACCCTTGGGACTCTTGAAAAATTCTTACCTGTGACCAAAGGTGGGAGTTCATTTGAAAAATATTTAGAAAGATTGAATGGGTTCTCTGACACAGAGACTTCCTGTTCCAAACTGTCTCTTATATGTCTGTCACCATAAAAATGGATCCAAATCTTGTAGTAGTTAGTAGAAAGATGTCAGTTAACTCCCACAGGATAAAGAACATTTAGGTTTAAGAGCAGATGTACTGGAATTAGGTACATCTGTCAGCCAAAAGATAAGCTCTTGTCTGTATTGAACTGGTATCTTAAGAGAGACTTTTATAGTCATCTTGCCTTTAAAAGCTGAATCACAGTAAGTGGGTAGATTGTATTATATATAAAGTTATTTTCATTAAAAAAAAAAAAGGAGAGGATTCTTTTTTTTCTGTTATTAAGCAGTAGTTCCATACCTGTAGCAGAACCCTCTGGTGTCATAATCACTGCTTGTGGAATTTTATGTTCCCAAGTATTTTGGTTTTATTACATTTTGGAATACCTTTGAGACAGTTTTCTTTTAAAGTGACTAGAAGTTCCAATGATGTGTGCTTCTTAAAATCTGGATATTTACACAGAGAAATTCCTGCAGGTCATGAGAATGTACGCAAAGTTTAAAATGAAATGTTCTTCTTTACTTAAATAATTTTGATGATGGTTGTAAATGGAGACTAGGAAAACTTGTCATTTCAAAATGCATGATGCATTCAAAGTAAATGAAATCTCTTTTCACTAGTCCTTGTAGTCCTCATTTACTTGAGTAGTCTCAGGATTGGTTTTGGATTTGTGTTGGGTGTTTTTTTTTTGTAATTCATTACAACTTTTCTTAGGCTTCTATAGGTTTCTTCAGGCAACGTCCTGAGGTTGTAGGTGCTACAAAGGATACTCGTTTTATGTTTGCAAAACAGGAGAGAAAGCTTAGCGCTTTTTGACTGCAGGGAACCAGATGTCATTTGGAGATGTCCTTTTTGGGCTTTATTGAGATGGAGGATTACAGTTGTCACAGATGCCACCAGTGCCACAGCTTCCTCCCACCCCAGTGTGACTCTTCTGAGACTAGGGCAACAGACCTTCGTCCTGGAAGCCCCTGGCAGAATCACTCTACACTGCTTCAAAATTTGCACTCCTCTGGGAAGTCCATCAATCTGTGGTCCTGTATCTGATCTGTTATAAGAGAACACATGTAGAAATAGCTTAATTGTATCTGTCATTTCCCTTGTAAAAGTTTGAATGCTATGTCATTCTTATTTTTCTTTGCTACACCCTTGTGAGATTGGTTTGTATTGTTGCCTTAGTTTTTAAAAATCAGGTACTCAGCCATGCTACGATGATTATTTAGTCATTGACCAGATTCAAAGCTAAGAGCAAAACTCTGACCAAAAATTGCAAGTGTCAGTCAAGTTCAGCCTATGTAATGTAATTTAATTCTCTTAAAATAAAGCTATTTCTTGTCACAAGTGGAGATTTTATTTATTGCTAAAATACATGCTCATAATGTTGTTATTATTGCACTCCAGTTTTACTGTAAGTATCGCTGCCAAGAATTCTGCTAGGGCAGCTCTGGAATTCCTGCACAGAATAGACTTCCAAAACTCCAGCCAATGTACAGCTTCTTTCTGTAGAACAGGTAGACCTTGACTGTGATAATAAATTACTTTAGTGAAACTGTTAATGCAAGAGCTTTGAATATTTTACTGTATCATATTTTCATAGAAATCTGGATGATGTTCAGATATTAGTAGTGAAATAATAACACTACTAAATACACTAATAATTCAAATTCAAATAGCTGATACTATTAAACATTTCCTGTACTTTCCTCCTACAGGAGCATTTTGTACAACATAAAAATAAGCAAGCCATGACTTTTCTGGTATGAATCAATGTGGTAGTATTATGCAATACAACTCAAAAATGTAATTTAATTTAAATTTAATTTAATAGAAGGATGGCAGGAAAGAAATGGATGAGTGTGAGTGTGGCAGTATAGTGATTTTTTTTTTTTTTTTTTAACTTGAAATCAGAGGGAATGAGGTACCAAGAAGATTTTGATAGTGTGGAGCAGCAGTTGCTTCAGATCTGGCTGAAATGGGTTACCCACAGTTTGTTTAGAATGTGATTAGCTGTCATTTGACAAATATATGTCATCCTTCATGTCCTTCTGGAGAAGTTGTTTCAAGATTCTGTTTTCTTCTCTTTCTTCATGTTTCTTCCTCTTTGAAGAGAGAGAGTGCTAGGTAGGAAAGGAGAAGGAAGAAAAGGGGGTGAAAGAGGGTCTTTTGGCTCTTGCTTTTTTTTTTGGTGGCTGAGTCTCTGACTAGCGACAGCCTGAGTCTATCCACTGTGTTCTGCTGTTTATAAAAACCAAGAGCATCTGGAAAGGAGCAGAGGTGCTTTCTCTGTATGCTCAGGAAGATCATTTGGTCTAGGTTCACAGCTGCAGAGTTGTTTGCCTAAGAAGAGCAATGGGATTTTTAGTGGTTTATATTTTGAATAAAGACAGTACACAATATCTTTTAAAAAATCCATCCATTTTCTGAGGTGTTGATTTAGTCTCTGACGAAACAAATGACTGAAGAATTTCACTGAGCTGTACATCCACCACTGCTGGAGAAATTCAGATACTTGTGTAATTGTCCACTTACATTAATATCCAGTTTGTACCGAATACCTTCTTTCCTGCTGTTCCTTAAGTGGGCTTGTAATGCTTATTAAGTTTTCTTTAGTTACCAACTCTTTTTTTTTTTTTTTTCTTCTTAACCAACTGCTACTTCTGCAAATTCTTTCAAAATACTTCATTTTACCTCAGTTTTGAAAAAGAAAAAAGAATGGTGTGGAAAAAATGATGTGGAACGAGTGTTATAATTAAGCCAAAAATATGTTCTTGAGGTTATTTTCTACACATTAAACAGAAAATGGTATTGCTGACTCTTTTTTTTTTTTTTTTTCCCCCTGGGTAGTATGTTTAGGATTATTTGCATGCATCTTTCCTAAGAAAACTGTATAAAGTGGTAAAGGTCTCCTGTGCTGTGTCTTCCATGTTGATTTGGTTGCAGCTGTCTTTACACCAATCACAGTTTTTTAATTTATTTTTCATAGTACTGCTCTCCTTCCCCTTTCGTGAGTTTCATTAAACAACTGGACCAAACAAACTTCTGAAGAGGGTTTTGTAGTCAGAACATTTGGAGACAGACTTGAAGACAATTAATTGAAATAGTATTTCTCTTTTTTGCTGTTTTTGTTGTCCTTTGTATGTTTTTCTTCTTTAGCTTACGGATGTTCACTGCCAGAAGAAATTTCCTTGGCCTGTCCTCAGTAAAATGCTAATTTAAATAGCCATTGATCTAATTAGAAGATAATTATTTAAATTCTTATTATGTTACTTGTTTCAGAAAATACTGTGACGATCAGCAGCAGGATTCAGCTTTCCCTTGTGTCCATCTCTGCTAATATGTGTTAATAATGGCATGAAAATTGAGGTTAACACTTGTTCCCTATTTTTCCATAGTCTCTCTGTTGTAATTTCTTGCCAACCTCATAATTCTTTTGTTGGATTAACAAAAACAATAATTGGCTTATTGGTTTTAAATGTGTGTGCATTCATGCATTTGTGGATTAGACAAGAGTTAGTGCTCCTTTTCTTCTAAACTAAATTGTTGTTTTTTTCTTGTCTGTTTCCACTCCTTCAATCTTTCCTCCACTTCCATCCTTCCCCTGCCCCCATTTTCCCACTAAAAATATCCTTAGGAATGACTTGCTGATGGTGTGTCGCCAGCTGAATATGGAGGACTCTGTCGCGGAGATCATGCGCCAGCTGGGAGCAGATGAAAATGGAAAAATTTCCTTCCAGGATTTTAGTCAGTGCCGCATGGAACTGGTACAAGAAATCAGGAAGGAGGAAGTGGAGCTTTCTGTCAAATCGGATGACTCTTGTAAAAAGAAAAAGTTAAGGGATAGGATAGCTTCCTGGCCAACTAGCAGCAATAACAGTTTAGGTAGGTATGACTTTTAAATGTCCTGTTGGTGTAGTTTAACAAAACATAAAAGCCAGGCGTTTTGCTAGCGGTTTTATTGGCGTCAGGATTTTCTCTAAGGGGTTTTGTGAATATGCTTTGGCATAATTTCATCATATACTAGGGTGCTGTTGTAACTGATATAGTTTGGTTATTGGTATGTAGACTAGAATGTGTGCAGAACATCCTCTCTAAAAACCCTACTTGCACAAGACAACCATCTCTCTTAAAAGGACAAGAGCTGCAGAACTCAGCTGGTAACTGAAGATCCAGTGAGCTCTTCATTGCCTAAAAAGCCCATATGAGTAGGTAGGTAGAAATATTACAAATGAGAACATAAATCATCTTGTTACTTTATCCTTCAGATGTAATATACTGTAAGACTGTGGATGTTTCTTGGGTGCTTTAAAAATCAATCCACTTAGTTGGGGATTTGAGTCCTGCAAGTGGCCTATGATTTAGAGAATACAAAAATTCTTCTTGCCTTTTGCCTTCCCTCCACCCAGGAAATACAAATAGAAATGGGGAAAAACAAACTAACAAACCAAACCAAACAGACAAAAACCCCCACCACCCTCATAAAAATAACTTGCCATGCCATCCACAGGAACATGGGATGTAGGCAGGGATTACCTGTGTTGTTGAGTCCAGTCCTTGACAGCACTGTGATCAATCAACATTAGATCAAGATTAGATGTTAACAGCTGCAAACTGCTTCTTTTCACCCTCTTAACAGAGACTGGAGGACACAGCTTCTGTGGTCAAAAATCCTAAAATGCAAGGTATTTTGGAGAAAGTTGGGCATGTTTAAGTGCTGTAGCTCCCTAGAGCAGCTGCATACTAGCTAAACGTGACTTCTGGCCCGTGATCTGGAACTGACCTACATCCACGCCTCAGAAGGCAGCCATCAACTTCTGATCATATTTAGTTAGAGCTGTGTCCCCTCAACTTTTTGTTTACACTATATAAGCCTAGATTTATAAAATAATTTTTTAACAAGACATCCTGCATTAATCATCCCAACAGTCTTTTTTTGCTTGTGTCTTAAACTAAGTTAGGAATATTTTTTACAATCAGATATACTTCCTACAACTTCCTGGAGAGTTTGCTTATCTGTGTTCTGGCTTCACATCTAACTGACCTGTTGTCAGAGTTCATTTCTTGCTGACCAGGTTCTTTCAGATACTCCATGTGTGGAGTGTGTCATGTTTAACATCAGATTTACTTATTTGAAGGTAGTTGATGTTACATGAGATTTATGATTTAGCACAGTGATACAAAACATACTGAAAACACAAATACAAATACAAAAATAATTGCACATAGCAGAACATAGCCATTTGAATACACAGTTCAGTCACAATACCAATGTGATTCTCCACATTTCTGATATGCTCATCATCATGATAAGGGGCATACCCAGTGTTGCTGAGAAGACACATGTGGGTTGAAGCCAGCTCAAGCCTATTGTTCTCTTTTATATCCTTCTGGTAGTTTACATTTTCGTAGTCTTTATGGTGGGCTGAGTAATGTATACACCCTCCCCCATGTTGGCCTGGCCAACTCAAGGAGAAATGCACACTATTTTTCATGAACTCAAGGAGAAACACACCACCAAATCATTCACTCAGCTGTTGATAGCTGTGTATCTAAAGCAAAGACCACCCTCTGGTCCACTTGGTGTTAAGATCAAGTCAGATTCTTTGCAATAGCTGTGATCAGTAAAACTTAGCATTATTCCCTGAGTTTCATGGGCACATTGCCCTGACCCATCTCCTCTAAGCCGCCTTCTGTGATAAGGGTTTACTGGTCAATAACAGTTGTCTTTATTTTTTTTCAGTAGTCCATCTCCTAGAATGTAAAACTGGGCACATGTTGATTTGGGGGGGTTTTGCTGGGTTTGGGGTGTGTGCGTAAATTTATTTATTTGGGGGGCACGGGTTTAGTATGTTTTTCTCTCTTCTAGTAACTGCACCATTTTTTTGGCTGGTCATCTCAGGTATTCCAGTTTTCCTTGTCTGCTTTGTATCCTTGGTCAATTCTTTATCTTCATGCTTTTTAGACTGGCTGCACTTCTCACTCATTATCCAGCCATCTCACGTTCATCAGTTTTTCTTTTTGGCTTCTTAGCATAGCAGATCTGTTTCATAGCTCTGTTTATTGTCTGTCTCATCTGTTTTGCTTCTTCTTTTGTTATAGAGGTGTGTTGTTAACATTTCCTGTTTATCCTTCTTCCGTGTTTGTTCTTGAATTGCAAGACAATTAACTCTGTAGTTTCTTGGCCCATTTCTCTCCTTTGCTGTCTATACTGCATCTTTATAATCCTTGAGGTCAACTGCATTTCCACCACATGAGTCTTCTTCAGGAGCTGTATCAGACAGCAGTGCAAAACCAAGATCATGCCCAATACCTTTTTGTTCTTGTTGTTATTGGACTGAGGATGGTGTATGTTCTGTAGCTCATGTAATTATCTTCTGCCTCTGTTGGCTGGCTTTTCAATGCTGCCACTGTTCCCTGCAAAGCAAAAAACTTCTTCTGCCCTCAGACTACTATACAAACATTTCCTGTGCTGGCCAGATTTCTCAAAATGTTGATTTAAAAACTTTCTTACAAACCAGCCTAATTATTGTGGTTTGTAATAATCAAGGGTAAAAGTTTCTAAGCTTTACTGGGGAAGGGTCTGCCTTATAGTCTCAAAATTTATCCCACAAAGAAATCTTATTAATTGCTGCCAAAAAGAGTCATAAATAAACATTCAATTTTATTATTATATACAATTCAATCTCTACTACTTTTTCCTATTTTCCAATTACTGTAAGTTGTACAAGAGTAATTTAATGAAATTTTAAAGTTGATGACTAAATTCATATTTATTTTCATATTTTTTCCCATAAAATTTAAGTCCAGGAGACCTTTGAATTTTCTGCCTTAGTACATTTATTTCTATGCCAGTGAAGCTTGGAGTACTGTACTGTGTTTTCAAACCTATAGGGAATTCAGGGGTTGTGTACTTGTCCTTGAATGTTGCACGTCCTGTAAGAATCTTTAGTAATTAGAAAACATATGGAGATGCTTTCCCATGCAAACAAAAACAAAATGAGAGGAAATAATAATGAGCGTTTGGAATGCAACTATTTTTTATTTGGTAATAAAAGAAAACCATTGTGGCAGCACTGTTCAAGATGTTGTACAGATCTTTTTTAAGGAGGCAGGGAAACACCACTGTAATCTATTTCTGTGTTATAAACAGTAGGCAAAGTATGGACATAATGAGAGCTGAGAAATTATACTTGCAGTCAAGTTTCAATTATGATCTGCTTATGCTTCCATACTTTTCATGTCTTTAAGGACTCACAAATGTACTCGTTAGTGATCAAAGAGTTCATTGTGCTATATTGACTGTTTGCTATTGCTTTCTAAACATTTAGTCAGGAGACACCATCATGTGCAAATTCAAACTTGGTGGATAGTCTCTTTGTGGGATTTTTTGTTTGTTTGTTTTGTTTTGGTGTTTGTTTTTTTTTTTTCAGACATTGCTTTTCATAAACATTATTTTCAAAGATAGTTTACAGGGCTTCTTTCAATACTAACTTTATAATGTGTCAGCTGCTGATAATCTGTGAAAGCTTTTATCATATATCCATGCGGGGTGCATAAATTACAAAATTTCAAAGTTCATTTGACTGCCACTGAGTAGCTGCCCTGGTGATCTGAAGCAAAGGAATCCAGCCTCAGCCATGGGCTTGTTTTACACTGCAGGTTGATTGTTGACTGTGCAGATATTACCACTCAGACACCATTTTGCGTAGGCCTTTCTTATAATAGTAAGTTATTAGAATGATGCTTTTTGCTGCTTGGATATCAGCAACTCAAAGCTCATATAATGTACTGTAGTATTTACCCTACACTATTAATGTAAGTGTGAGCTTTAGTAATTATTTGCAAGTAACAAGCAGTAATTTTTTTCTATAAGTGAAATGGAATGTGACCTCTGTTAGTTAATGTTCTGGCATTGTTTAAAATATAATAAAAATTAATAAAGTAACTTTTGAAAGTGTTACTGGAGTCTTGCAGTGATCACATGCTACATTTCAGTAGGAAATTCAGAAAGGATGTCAGTTACTGGTCAGATCTGTGTGTCCTGTTTCCAGTTATGGAGACTGAAAGCCATGATGATACAATAAATCTGTGTGAATCATCTAGTGAGTGATGGAAGTGGATGGCTTGTTGAATGAGACCCTACAGTACAGCAGAACTACACCTCTAATGATTTAAGGCAGGAAGTTTCAGTAAAGTTGTGACTTCTGTCAGGTTTTTCCATGTTATATAGTTTTAGATGTGTCATATAAAAATTATAATTATTTATATTATATGTTGTATGGATTTGTCTAGATCTTTACATGTAATTAGCAAATTGCCATTTTTTTCCCCTGTGATCAAGAGTAGTCTATTTCCAGTACCCATTGTCTTTGAGGGTGAACAAGAAATGAAGAATTTGTATTGTTTATTATAAAGTTCTTTCTTTAGTCTGGTGAACGCTTTCCTGTCCCTGAAAGCTGCGTGTAGTTGTTGTTCTGATATCATATTCAAGATAAATAGTTACGAATACCAGAGTCCATAACCAATCTTTGGCTGTAGGTTAGTATTTAGTTAATTAATTCATAGAGAGCTCCCCTGATCTCTTTACTGAAAATGAGTCCCTTGAAAATATGATATGATAATTTATTTATATTGTGGATCAAGAATGCGAGTTAATCAGAGGAATGGTAGAAATTCAGCCTCAAAATACGCTTATGGTTAAACATGAGAGGCCAGCTGGGACTGAGAAGTCATTACTTTTTGCTTTGCATTAATTCTGTGTTTGATCTTACTGCAAATAAATGGCTTTCAAGAACTGATGCAGTGATTAAATTTATGCTATATTTAATTAAAAACTGCACAGCTCATATGGACTGAAGGGTGTGCTGTGGATGTTCTTGAGA